CTCCCTGTTGCTTCTTTGGCTATAAAGACAGAGACCCACTGTCTCTCTGTGGGCCATACCAGAATGGGGACACTCTAGTAATTCAGCAACATGTGGAACACACAGCAGTGGGGGCGAGGTGCTCCTCTGCGGCCCCTACCATATGATGTAGAATTCTTTAGGTTCATTTTAGCCATACTAACATGGGCCTCCAGTATGACAATGTTAACAGTGGTGAGAGACAGTGGTATGGGCGCCCTGCACATGAAGAAGCAGTGTTGGGAATCACAGCACCCCATCACTGGCACTCCCAACATACTGACCGCAGTATGTGGTGAGACATGTTATGCAGGCAGCAGGTTTTGGAAGCTGCCTAAGTGCTGTGGTAACAGGAACTGCATTGGTCTCAGCTGTATCTGTGTGAGAGGACCTCAGCCCCCTCTGCCACACACACCCAAGAATGGAGCAATGGCTAGGCCTTTTCTCCAGCTCTTTCTGCTGTACTGCCCACTTTGGTGTGGGTGAGAGCAGCACACAAAGCCAGGCAAAGTTTCTCTCTAGCCTCCTTTGGTAGTGTGCACCTGGGGCCACTGTGTCAGTGCTCAGAAGTACAGTCTCGCTTAAGGCCATTTTCACATGTCCCTCATGCAGGGCAGTAGCAAATCACTGCATGTGCTCCTGTGTCAATACCAGGCCCTTGTGCTTACTGCAGGAGACAAGGCATCAAGAACGGTGTGAAACACTGCTTTTAGTCCTGGCTCCAGCTCAAATCCATGTTGATAGCCATGCCCTTGGTCACAGAGATCAAGTCCCCCATTTCTATTCTTTGTGGCAGTGTCTACCATCTCCATCACTGTATCTATCCCATATAGGTCATGGCACATCTTGTACTCTGAGTCAGTTACAAGCGGAGTTCACCTAGTAGCTACACACAGAGTCACTATAGAGGCATGCACATGGGGTCTTAGAGCAGGGAAGATGGCTCCTGGCTTCCCTGAAAATTGATGTGAGATCCTTTTCCAAAGCCAGGCTATTGAGCAGATTTCAAGTTACTATCCAACGCCAGTCTGTGATTAGAAACTTTCCAGTAGCTAGGATCGCTACCAAGAAGTTTGGTAGGACTGTGCCTTTCACCCTCACCCCTGCAGAGGGAGACTTCTTCCCTAGCCACGGAGCCAGGAAGTAGATGCCAGGATTTTTTTTCCCCCCTTACTATGCTGTGGTCCTGGGTCTTTTGCTGAGTTTAAGTGTCCCCCCACGGTCACTCACCTTAATGAGCAGCTATCCAACTGTTACTTCAGTTTTCCTTTGTGGAGGTGAGTGCTGGACATGTGTCCTTGGCCCTCATGAAGTCACTGTTTAATCTTACTTACCTGGTTAGTCATTTCCTAAATTTTCTCTTATTTTAAAATTTATGTCTTAACCCAACTGATCTTTACTTTATATTCAGTGTGCTAAGGATCCAATTTTTTTTTCATATTGTGGGTAGTTAGTTGCAGCAGGACCTTTTGTTTAGTAAAACATAGATCCACCCCCCCACACACACAGGAAGAAGCCATCTCTTTCATAAATGAAGTTCCCACAATACCTGGCATATGCTTGACTTTTCAGTTTGTGTCAACACTCCATTCACCTCTTTCTGGTTCATGTCCTAATTCAAGGAGCTAGTAAAACAACTTTGTGGAAACTTCGTGTTTGAAAAGTCAAGCTCAGTCTTTTGCCATTTTAATTTCCTAGGTTAATCTTCTGTTTCCAGATGAACACTGTTGGCATTATAGCTGAAAACATTGATATGGAATGACATCACATTAGTAATGAGAGGTATCTTCCTACCCAAGGCCTTGCTCTGCACAGGATTTGCTTTCCATCCTTCAGCAAGTTTTAGCTTTTCTTCATACACTTCTTAAAAATGTTAATTTATTATTTTTATGTGTATGAGTGTATTGCCTGCATGTAGGTAAGTGCACCTGTGTTGTGCAATGCCCGCGGAGGTCAGAAGAGGCCATCAGATCCCCTGGAACTGGAGTTACGGACAGCTGTTAGCTGCCATGTGGGTTCTGGGATTCAAACCTGGGTCTTCTGTGAGAATAATCAGTGTTTCTTAACCGCTGAGCCATCTCTCCAGCCCTTCATATACTTCTAAGCATCACTTGTGAGCATTTTTTCCTTCTGGCTGCTACCTAGCATTGAAAGCTTTATTACTACCTAGCATTGAAAGCAGAGAGACTGTCCGAATGCCTCTTGCCAGCCTCTGCTTCCCCAGTCTTATCTTTAATGTCTCAGATAAATAAATCACTTTCAACTCCAGATCCCCATCCCCATCCTTCCCAACCCGTCCACACCACCCTATTCATTTCTTTACCGACTTTCCACCTTCAGTGGAAATGTCACTTTCTCAGTGTGTCACTTGTCACCCTAATGGCATTTACCTATGTCTGTTGGAAGTGCTTCTTTCTGACCTGCCTTTCGGTCCATGAACAGACATTCTGTTCGAGTGCATATGTTGGCCTAGTACAGTAGGATATTCGACCAGCATCCAGGTTCAGGGTTGAATCCTTTCTGTGTCTCATTTAGCCCCTCCTGCACCCCCTCTCTAGATTTTCAGTTTCTTCACCTATTAATTCTTTTAAGCCTTGAACTCATTCTAAGTTCACTTTATCTTAAAAATTTGAGCTACTCATATTTACTTAGCATGTAATTTCCTCCGTAACCATCCCTGTATTTATGCACATTTGTCTTTTTTCCCAGTCTCCTATAGAAATGGCTTCCTAAAAGATGTTACAACATGCCTCCCATTAAGTTCAGGGGCCTAATCTTCATGTCCAGTCTCTTCAACTTCTTCCCAACCCACTCTAATAGACAGCTTCGTAACTTTTTTCAGTGTTCTTTCTTAGCGTTTCAAGCTCTTTCTTCCGTCCTAGTCCTCCCCTCTTCTGTGCACAAGTGCAGCCCTCTGAGGGGTCGCCTACACCTGCAGCATCACAATGCTGAGTTATAAATTCAACAAAGATGGTGACTAGTAGGAATGAGGCATCGTGCCAACTGCTTGATGAAGAAGGCAGGAAGGCCTTGTCTTCCTGGCATTTAGGATCTAGCAGGACAGTGACATTAAATCACACAAGTGCTCCCAAAAAACAGAAAAAGTCAGCTTAGAAAGATTACCTGGAATTTGTTTGTTGACAAAATTGACCCATATAAGGTATACTGGAGAGAAAAAAATTCAGAGCACCTGAAAAGCGAGGCCAGTCGACTGGAGTGGAAAGAAAAGGAAAAGGCGAGTAGCAATGTAGCCCGAGAGAGACATGTGTGTCTGGCTTTCACTGACCTGACACCGTACAGTCCTTACAAATGGAGTCTGTGGGACTCAACCATAGTCAGGAAGTAGGAATTTGGAAAACTGAAGAGTATGTACAGTAGAGCTGTGGAAAGGAGTCAAGAAATGATCTCCTACACATTACAACTCTCACATTGAAAATAACCCACTCAAAGCCCCTGACCATACATCCTAACCCAATTTTCTTTTTAGACAGTTGTCTCTTAAGATGTAAAATTAGATTTGGGTACTGAAGTGAACAATGAAGTTGGTATGTAATGTGACAAAGAAAATCTCCTCAAGCAAATGGCTCAGAAATAAACAGCAAAGGCTTTTGCATCTTTGTAAGACAACCAGATCGTCTGTTAATTTATTATTTTATCAGAAATTCACGTGTCATTTCTTTAAATTGTATAAGAACATTATGTAATTACTTTTGGGGGAGGGTTGAGACAGTTCTTCCTGTAGCTCCAGTTGGCCTGCACTCACTACATAGACCAAGCTGGCCTCGATCCCACAGAGATTTGCCTGCCTCTGTCTCCCGAGGGCTATTAAAGGTGTGAGCCATCATGCCAGGTCCATGAAATACTTGGGATAATTTATACTGTAATGGGGCTAAAACTTACTATTATTTTACAATTATGAGCACACCATCACACTCATATACATAATAAAACCAAAGTCAGATACAAGTCTCAGGTTATAAAAATTAGCCAATTAACAAATAAATTGTAAAATAAAATTTACACTCCTAAGATTTTTTTAACCCCAAATTTTGTAGGCACAGCAGTGATCCTCACCTATCGGAAAAGAACTTTAAAATCATATGAACTATCTGTGATATTTCCAGCAGTCCTCTGCAGTGACAGGGGACTGAACCTATTGGTGAAACTGTTAATTCTAAAGGTTCAAACCAGGAAAATGAACATTCCTTTCTTAAGTTTCAGAAAACGCATCTAATGCTACAACAGACTAGGACACTGTAGACCGTGCTTTCTAATATGCGCACTGAAAACCTACTTATAAACAAAACAAAAAGTCAAGCACCTACTTCTTGGAGTCTGCCAGAGTTGTTGTCATGCTTAACTGTCTCACGCTTGACTTCTTAGGCTTCTTCAAATAAAGTTATGGAACAGTGTGAGAACTGTTTCTGTAGGTTAAATGCAACAACGGTAGGTTTGGGGGTGAATGGAGGGATACTCAAATTTTACAATACTCATTTTTTATTTTTATATATTTATATTAGGATATTGTACAGTTTTCAAAGCTAATAACAGAACTTTTTTGTATGTGTATTTAAAACATAACAAAATAAAAGTATTTCACAAAAGAAGTTCATATTACAGTACTATTGAAATATGAGGCAAAGAGTATGCGTTTGTGGATTATAAACAATACATTCATTTTAAAGAATAAACATTTCCTGTGAATAACATCATCTTAGCTATAATAAATATAGTAAATGTTAACAATAACATCGGAAGCAAAGAGATCCGGCAAAGGTGTTTTGTAATAGTCACTGTAGAGAACGGCTGCAGTATCTTATTAACGTAACATCATTGAACACTGGCGAGCACTTTATTCCTATAGGAATACTCCTCATTCACCAGCCCTCAACCTCGTCACACCAAACAAAGTCATCATACGTCTCCCCTGGGGTAATTGGTACCAAGGTTTAAATAAGGTTTAGAATCAGCTGTACCTTGTATTTAACCTGCCAGTCTAATCAATTCTAATGTTTAACTTCATATGAAGTTTACTCATAAGCAAAAGCATAAAGAGAACCTGTTATAGGTGATTGTAAGATTAGAACTTCTAATAAGTTCCATAACTTTTTGCAAATATCCCATTCAAATTTGGATTTGGTTTTACGCAGTGGTTTCTTTAGGAAAAAATATGATCAGCTGGATTGAAAATATATCTCAAAGGAAAAGTTTGCCCATATAGAAAATAATAATGCATATATCCCTGACCATTAAATTCTTCAGCTATTTGCCAGCTTTTTTTAAGGTAGATAATAAATTCACGAACAAAAGTTTAAATCATCACTTAAAAGTCACTGTGAGGGGTTAAGCTAATGAATTTTGGAAACAAATGGTCTTAAAGACTGCAAAAAAATGGGAGAGAGTATTTGTTCCAGGAAGAGGACATTTTGTGTCAGTCAATTCTATGAATGAACATAGTCACCAGAAGTAAATGTACTCACACCTCTGAGGGGATGTCTACTGATGCTCGGTGTGAGTGCTGAGTCAGTAAATGTGGGATGCATCCAGCACAGCCTTCATGAAAAAGAACAACTAGGTTTCCTTTGTCTATCCCAAGATAAAATTACCCTTTAGATATCACACATAAAAAAAAAAAAAGACCATTATTTTGAAAGTTTAAAAATTACTTGAAATTACTCAAATGAACACAGGAGCAATACTTTGTGAAGAAACAAAGCCAGGGATCTCTGTTCTCTGAACGAGGCCTTCACCTTTGTGGGACAATTCTGCCCAGGGTGCTATCACTGCACACGTAGTGCTCTGCAACAGTGACTACCACTCAGCCCTTCAGCTTCACAATTCTATGAGGAACCCAACTGCTACCAACATGAAGGTATTCAGGGAAAACATCTTGACAGCAGTGCTTACTAAACTCTCCACTTCCTTAACTAAATTAAGCTTTACCATCTCTGATATCTTCATGCACAAATACAGTACTTTGCTCCAAAGCCTCTCTACCGATATGTTATTCTCAGCAATTCTGGCTGCGGTAATAGCCAGTCTTCATGTCCTTAAACACAGTCTACAATTACAACCTTGTCAAATGACTCAGGATTATCAACATTCACAGGCACACTGTAACATACATCCTTTCTTCCTAACAACACAAGACTCATGCATAGAGTGGCCCAAATTTTAAAAAGTTTTAAAAAAGGTTTCAATCCAAGAAAAGTGTTGGCATACCAAATATCTTTTAAAAGGGAAATATGTTCTCAGAAAATCTGAAAAATTAATGGATAAAATGAACACACAATATAAATAAGAAAGTAACTTGAAGAATATAAAAAATTCTGAAGGGGATTGATCAAAACTTCAATAAAATCTATGAATAAAAACATATGCTTACATTATAGTGTACAATTATGAGTTAAAACGCATTTAGATTTATAAAGAAGTTGAAGTATAGTACTGTAAGATAATTCAAAGACTATTTTTCAAATGTACAAATAATAAAAACACACAAAGAAGCCTTGGGCAATGTGCAACTTTAAAATGACTATCACACCAGCCAAGCAAATCCTTAACCACTTGTTCAATGCATTCATTTATACTGTTTAAACGCAAAGAAAATATCAAAGATACTAAAACACAAGACTTTCAGTGTCTGACTCACATTTTGACCCCTACCTTTTCACATTTAATAGTTGTATTTTGAATGTATGAACTAAGACTTTTAAATGTTTCTCAAATAGTTTAGATCTACATTTATACGAATTACATTTGAAAGATATAATGCTAAGAACTAAAATACATACTTCAAACTTAATCACAGAAGTTCACAATTGTGTTCACTTCAATGGCCACAAATGACTTAAAAGCAAACAAGTCAAACAGGTATTTTTCCCCTCTCTGATGTGCTGCCAACATGTACCTTTTACATTTGGCACAGGCAGTCTATAAACACAGTTAGTCAACAGAAAACTCCAGGGAATTCTAAAACCTTTAGCCCCTAAAAGCTACCTGTTGCACTGCATTCTTAACATGCAATTTGAGTGTACCAAAGTTATTTTGGGTTTGCAAGGTGATTTAGACTGGTAGAAAATGAAGCTTATATGAAAAATGGTTAAGGATTCAAAGCTCATCAGCTCTGAAATAGTAATCTTAACATCCAGACAAAAACAGGGAGGTATGATTTGCACAGAATACTTTAAATTATTTTGGTTATGTCTTCATGATCTCACAGCTTAGCTGCTTGCGGTGCACGCATGCATCCTCTTTGCTACATCATAAACGTAGGTGATGTCTGGCCGCTTCTCTGGATCTGGGTTGATGCACATATTAACCAGCTGTCTTAGCTGAAACAAAAACAAAGGTAAACTTAAAACCAGCCTTCTCAATTTTTAAGAAAGCACTTCTGAATATTAATTACATATTTATATGGGAGGCACATTTCCTTACTGTCTTCTTACTAGAGATACACACATGGCTATGGTCAACAATTTTGCAATCACTTAAATGTTATAAGAAGTTTATTCACTAAAAGTATTAGTGTCAAGAAAGAAGCATTTTCACAATCAGAAGCTTTCTTTAGAATGGGTAATTTTTTGAGTTGATTAATCAGAATATGCCATTTACTAAGAGCAGCTGATTTTTTTTAACTTTTACAAAAACTTTATTGAGAATTTCGTATATGTATATAAGGTGTTTTGATCAAATCCATGCCTACTCCCTCCCCTCCAATATTCCCCCCTCTGAAGAGGTAACCCTAAAATCTTTTAAGGATTAGATACAAGCTCCCAAATACTTTTGACATTTTTTGGCAGTGGAATTTGTTGCTAACAGGCCCAAGGACATTTTGACTTTTAGCCGAGAAACTGGCTACATTTTTTTGGGGTCTTTTGACCTTAACTGCCTAGCCAATTCCTACCTCCTATTCTTATCACGCCATCCTCTGAAAGGGGTTAGTCAAATTGTCAATAGGGAATAGGGACACAGACCACTCTGGCTTCTTTCATGCTGAACAAGAACACAGAGTGAGGCAATTGGTGTACTCCTTCAGTGGGTCTATCTAAAAAACTCTCAAATTGCACAACTCTTATCTCTAATGGGAAAAGAAACACCTTGAATCATGAATAGGAGATGTGAAGGAGAAGTAAAGGCAAGAGTAATTAGCCTTACAAGTTCTAGACAGGGAACTGGAAAAAGAGTCAGAACAGGGCAATTTTCAAATGTTCATATGAGAGTCCATTGGAGTTTCTAGACAAGAGCTTCCAAAAGCATCCCTCTATTGGGTTCTAACCTATTTGCTATATAACAAACAAAATGTTATTCAATGCATTCTATATATTTGTACATGACAACATATGCAGTCTTTCTAACACCTCTTTACAGGTACTACTATTGCAATGTGATTTTTATGAAGTAGCAATGGTCTGAGGTCATAAAGACATAAAGACAGGACCTAGATGTGAACTGAAACAGTTTCACTTTAGACCAGGCCTATTAAGTACTGTTATTACTGTCAGAGGACAATTCTAACTTGGTCTGCAGGTTTCTCCATGACCACTGCTGCACAAGAGTGGGGTGGCTTTCCACACAATCAGGGGCAGACTGTAGGTTATTTGCTTTTCAGACTGTTAGCTTTAACACCGATCATTAGGTTCTAAAAATAATGAATCTGTATTCGTCTTTCGTATTTGTCTAGGAATTTGTAAGCTTGTGACGAGATACAGACCCACTTTTATTTTTAACAAGGCAAGTACTCTTCAGTGATGCCACAAACATGTTCAGATGAATATTGTGACTAGGATGATGGTTTTGTTCCAATTTTAAGTTGTTTCAAAAATGACTCTTTCAGGGGCTGGAGAGATGGCTCAGCAGTTAAGAACACTTGCTGTTCTTCCAGAAGGCCTGGATTCTATTCCCAGAACCCACATGGCAGCTAACAACTGTCCCTAACTCCAGTTCCAGAAGATCCAATGCCCTCTTCTGGCCTCCTCAGTTTTTGCATAACACAGAAGCACTTACACACATACAGGTAATAGATATAAAATAAAAATAACAAAAAAGAAATTTTTAAAAATATGACTTTCATGAAATTGGCAGTACTTCCTTCTAAACAAAATTTACTTGAATTTCAGCTTAGAACAATCTCACAATTTTGGATTATAAACATAAACACAGGGGCTGGGAGTGTACCTCAGTGATAGAGCACTCACCTAACATGCCCAAGGCCTACAGTTTGACCCCTACTTTGATCCTCAGGAGGAGAGTGGGGTTGAAACCCTTGTGCAGTGACCCCATAACAATATAAAATGATTCTAAGTGTCCTCTCAAAGTTAGACATTAAATGATAAAGATAATTATATTCGAGACCTCCCCCATGTTAGCTGTGTGTGTGTGTGTGTGTGTGTGTGTGTGTGTGTGTGTGTGGTTTTGGGGGCAAGATCTCACTAGATAGCACTGGCTGGTGTCAGACTTGCACAATCCTCCTGCCTCTGCTACCTGGGTGCTGAGATTACAGCTATGCTCCATTAATCTTATCTTTTAAAAAAAAGTGTCTATAGAAAAAAGTTGTTTTTGAAAGTCTTTTAATAACTACCCTTTATGTTAGGTTTTAATTTCTAAGACTATTATACAGCCAAAAGGTAAAAATATGTGTGTGTTTGAATTGAGACAGGTATCCAGTTATTACTTTAAGTAATAGAAATAATTCTATAATCAGTAGATATTACAGCACTAATAAAAGCAAGAACAAATAAAGAATTTCATGGTTTGCACTATCCTAGAAAATTTACTTCTCATGCTTTGCACCTGTTTGTAAAAATCTGTGTATTTCCTTGCTTTTACTATAATATGTTAAAAAGGAAGGCAAAATAAGGTGGGCACATGCAAGAGCCTTTACAAAGTCAAAGGAAACTGCTTAATTCCTGTGCTTCAAAGATAGCTAAAAAGCAAAACAGAAGCATTTAAATGAGCAAGAGTAAAATTAAAAATATAAAGATATGTTTATATTAAAGAGTAAAATTATCTTTGATAAAGTAAAAATGAAATGATTCTATGAGTGTTTTTAAAGGATTATGAAATTAATGTTTTCAGTTCAGTAGATAAAATATTAACATATTTTGACCTATACATTCCCAACACAATATCACAACACACAGCTTAACCAGAAATATTAAGGACAGTGTTAAGAGCCATTGTTCTCAGGGTGATAACCCAATTACATTTCAAGTTCAGTTGCATACGGGGTAATAACAGTAGGGCTCTTTGTGCAATATAGCTTTAGGTCACTACCACAATTCTCAATAGAATAATAAAGACTAATTCTATTGGCTCTGTTTCTTTATCACCCCTATCTTAATCCCTCTGAGACCAATTATGCTCTATCAGCCTCCCAGATATACCCAATTTCCATCTACCCAAGGACACATTTCAGTGCCCCAAAGTGGGTCTAATACATTAAAGCACACTATATTTTGGAGCTTTAGATATTTATACAAAATGACTAGGTACAGCTAGTTTGGACACCAAAGTGCCAGTAGTGATTGACTTGGGGGTAGAGGGAAAGGAGAAAAGAGAAAAGAAGGTAATCTTACATAGACATAAGGTAATGTAATGTCTATATTTCACAAGCAAAGATCATTCGGCTTCTTTACAAGTGAAAGTCTTACAGAAAGTGACATGGCTTTATAGGATCCCACAGGATATGTGAAATATAGGGCACCATTTTGGATTCATGTCTTCAAGGAACAAGTCCCGTGTCACTTCTGTAGCACAGGTGAACAAAGGGCCCGCTTCAATATATTTTTTAAACAAAATGGAACACTCAAAGCTTAAAGACCTAATCTTATAAAGCAACTTTTATTTGGTAAGGTAGCCAACTGATATAAGGTGAGAATATCCAACGTCCTAAAATAATTTTTACTAAGGAAAATCAAATGCTCATAGCTTGTGAGATAACCTAGCTGATAATTTTAGTAAATAATTGCATGGCTGTATGATAAGAACAATGTTTATCAACACATTTTTAAAGTAAATATTTTTATCTTACTTAGAATGCCTACATAATTCTAGATTGCAAAAACACTTGAATAAATGGACCTTAAAACAGTATTTGTTCTACATAATGTCATTATACCACATAATGCATTATTGAAACGACTATACTAGGAAGAGTTTTCCAACACCAATTTAAGTTACATTGGTTAATTTTTAGTAACAACTCTAGGGAATTTATAAAATCCTATTAAAATTTCAGAGTCTAGGATTTATACAATACATGTTTAGATTTTTAAATAAAACCTCAAAAACTTGAAAACCAATCTCAATCACACCTTATTTTTTCCTACACAAAGCAATTCTTTATATACCCCAAAGGTCATGTGTTTTGTCACTCACTTGACTGTTTCTAGATGCTTCCTTAAACATATTCTGATTTTTAAAAACAATCAAAAATATTTACAAATGTTAACATCCATCATAATTTTAAAGCTTTTATATAGCATTTTTCTTTCCTTAATAATGAACATTTGATAAATAATTATAAGTAAAATTATGACAAACTGTAGTGCTCTTTGGTCAGCATGTTAGGAATCAATACATCTGATATCTTACTGGAGCTATATGTACATTAAATAGTCTAATATGTGGGAATGACAGTTATCTTCCACACAGATTCCTCATTCCTTCCTTTTTATGTCACATGGTCCCTGAGTCATCACAAGTAGGAAGAGTCTTCTGAGTACTGGTCTGCTTTTTAACATAGCAAATGCCAGGGATTACAGAAAGTGTGGAAAGTGCAAGGGTTAAGGGCTAAGAAGTCTACCAAAATCATGAACCCCTGGATGGTGAACACCTGAGTGGTCCCTGAGGTTGGGAACTCCTGCAGCACAAGCAGGGCAGGCCATGAGCCCCCCAGAAGTCTGATCCTGCGTGCCACATACTGATCTCTACTTGCTCACATGTAAACTGGGAACAAAATCTCTGTCCTAATTTCTTTAATTAAAAAATGAAGATTGTTAATATTGACTAAAGAAAGTAGTAATTTAAAAAGTTGGAAAAATCCAGTATTAGCTTTATCAAAGTCATATAAAACCATATAATCTATAAATAAAATTTGTCTGAAATCAGTTTCATTCAATCAAAAATTTATTACTATTGCTATTTATATAAACAACCACAGGAAAAAAACACTACACTTTATAATTCTTGTATTTATATTTTAAATATTCAAAAAAAAATCAGGACTTCCCAAAATGAAAGAGATACTCCCAATTTTTATACTTTTGAGTGAGGCATCACTCAAAAGTGACGCTGGTCCAGGGAAGGATGGAAAGGAAAGAAAGGGAAAAACAGAAACATTCTCCTGCCTTCTATTTTTCTAATGTGCCAAAAGAGAAAAAAGAAAGAATGAGGAAAAAAAGAAATAAAGAAAAGCACCCTGTTCTAATGAAGAAGACAGAAATAGCAGGGTGGAGTGAGAGCACAGGTGCACAAGCATGGCGAGAGGGCGTGCACAGGTGTTTACTTCCTATTCTCTGCCTGGATCTGGTCTTCAGGTTGATTATTTAAGGGTATTTTTTATATGAGACATAGTCCAAAGAAAAGCTTTGAATAGAAACAAAACTTTTGTATCTGTGGCCTAAAGGCTTGAGAACCACAGGGTCTACCAACATTTAATAAAAATGAGACTATATAATATGGAATCTAAATGATGAGTCAGTTCTGATTCACGAATCATAATGTTTTTTTCAGTTCTAAAAGGCAATGGGACTTAGTAAACCAGCAAGTTTTCAAACTATAACTCAAAGACATACAATTACAAACATAGTACTTTTAGATTCTCTCTTATTTATAATAAATTTAAAATTACTGAGCCTGCAAATGGCCTGAAATCCCAGTTACTTGGGAGACTAAGACAGGAGACTCACAGGTTGAAAGCCAGCCTAAGCTGCAGTATGAGTTTAAGGCCAGCCTACCCCAACTTTATCTCAAATCAAAAAGTAAAAAGAGGGTGCAGAATATAGCTTGGTGTAAGAGTGCTTGTTTGACATGCATGAGGCCCTAGGATCAATGCCCAGTATTGACAAAAACAAAATGACACAGCAAATAACATCTGACATAGCAAATAATTCAGATCCGCTATTGTAACACAGTCCACTTCATTAAAAAAGTTTTAATTATCTTTCCAAGGTTTTATAGGTGCTTAATTTTTTTTTACACAAGGCATTGTTTTAGAGTCTTCAATTTACTATCACCCTTACTCCATTTTCTAGAATTTTCCATCCTTATTCCTACTTTTTTCACTTTTGCTTGCAAACCCTGAACTTGACTTTTCAGAACTTTCTTCACTATCTATCTGTTCAAACTTTCTTTTTTTTTTTTCTATTGAGTCTGAAGAGATGATTTACTGAACAAATACATAATTGTGCTGACCATTCCAGTATCTAGAGATTACACACAGGGACTAAAGGATAACAGTGTCTCATTTCCTGATAAATGCCTCCTGGACATTTCAGAGATGATGATGTTCCTGTAAAGAATGAAAGAAAGATGCACATAGGGAATAATATTAATGAAGGAAAACGACCACAGCCCCTGGCATGCTTTCTGAGCAGTTCTTTGCCTCACTAGACATCTTTTGAGAAGTTTCTCTTGTTCAGTTGTCATTGACTGGGCTACACACTGCTTTTAAAGCTATTCTTTTAATCTCAGTCTTTTACTTCCTCATTCTTTTAATCAATCTAGGACCCAACTGTTAAAATATCAGGCCCTAGAAATCTGGAAAAATGCTTGCCCATGTGAGGGGAGGTGCACATCCAAGTGGCAGCTACCATGTGTGTGACCGTCAAGGACAGATGTAGGGAGGGGGCCAGGGAAAGCCATATAGGAAGTGGAGGCCACTATGAACCAAAAGAGGATAGGAAATTTTCCTGGAAAAGAGGAAAGAGCATCTTTTAAAATATGAAAATCTTGAACTTCTAGCAGAACTCACATTGGTAGACTGAAGGGAAAGAAGGGTATAGTGTGTCCATGGTCATTAAGTCTTGAAGACAAGCCCAGGTCGGACTTATAAGTCCTTATATATAGCAAACATTCAAAGTGCTTGCTTTGTCATTACCCATAAGACAACTTAAACTGAGAGCTAGCCAAGAGAAGGCATCTGTTTTCAACTCAAAATTTTTAAGTACCGTAATTCTCTACTTAGATAGGGATGGTCTTATTACTAGAAAAGGAAAGAATATGGAACTCCAAAAAATATGTCAAAATAAAATCATCATAATATATAGCTTCTGATATCCTTTGTATGTAGCTGAAACTCAAATACCATCATTCAAAAGGAAAGACTTGACATATATATTTCTATTTCTAAACCATACTGGCTTCTCATTTTTTTAAATTATTTTTATTTTATGTGTATGTGTGTATTGTCTGCATGTAAGTAAGTGCACCCATGTCATGCAATGCCCTCAGAGGGCAGAAGAGGCTGTCAGATCCCCTGGAATGGAGTTATAGACATTTATTAGCTACCTTGTGGGTGCTGGGATTTGAACCCGGGTCTTTTGTAAGAACAGTCAGTGTTCTTAACCACTGAGCCATCTCTCCAGCCCCTCATTTTTGGTTTTTAATAATAAATTGTACTTATGTATTAGGGTATAACATAGGAAAAAATTGCCATTTTTTAAAAATTCTGAGTTCTTTTAAGTTTAAATAGAATGATTATATTTGGAAGTAAGTCTTGCAGATTTCCCTTTGATGCCTATCACCTGAGGCTGGCTGGCAAGTGCAGCTACAGCTGGTATTCTCATGCTTCCTTTGAGTCCTGGGGGAGGGGAGGCAAGAATCTTAAAAATTTAGTAGTACCCAGAGTAAGTCTGGCAAGCTCTCAACATATTGGGCAAATTTATTTGTTTTTATTTTTTATTTTATTTTTTTAAAGTAGATTGGTCCTGAGTTAAAAGTTCAGTGATGAAAATGTCTGCATGTCTCTTTTCATTCCTCCATATTTCTCTCTATTAACAAATTAAATGCCATTGGATTTCTGAAATATTTAAATAGCATTCTTTATAAACAAGCATTTAAGGTATCATTATGGTAGCACTAAATCTATGATTTTGTTGCTACAACCAATCCTGAATAATTAACTAACAGAGTTCCTATTTAAGGAGAGAAAATATTCATTAGCATATCTACATTTCAAAGTCTAGTTTTAAAGAATTCTTGTACATAACCAATTAAATTAAAGGAACACTGTATATAGACTGCATATTTTCCAAATTCACTTCTTAAGAATTATTTTTCATGTTTACCTAGATATTACAGCCTCCTATTTAATCAGGGCATGACAAGAGATTTTGCTAATGTGAGGGACTGCACTCTTTCAGAAGGTACACCACAGAATGTGTTTTGCTTTATAGAGCTTTCAAAACTGGTAACTATACAGAGTGAAGTAAAAAGTGGAATCTATTTTCCTTCCCAAACTTGAAGACCTTCTATCTGGGCCAGACTTTGATATTTGCCCCTTGGCTGAGAATCCGCATATCCAACTTCACACTTAGCTGCAGTGAAGTAGCCCTGCAGGCAGGCTGACTTCAACGAACCACTAGTGGTATCATCATTAAAATCCTGCTGAAGGTCACCATGGTAACCGCCTGCTGAGGCTTCACTGCTGCACTCCGCATCTCCTAATCAGCTACCATGTGAAATGCAAATTCAGACAGTCTGAAAATTAGTCAAGAAGAATAGGGGATGAGGATGCAGATATGTGAAATATTCATGTGCTTCATGGAAAAAAGAAGACAGCATGAATGACACAACAAAGAGAGGCCTCTGACATCCTCGCTATCATTCAGCATTATTGTTCACACCCTACTGTATTTCTAGGCTTATAGTTCTGAAGTTGGTTTTGTGAAATGCCGTATTTATAGTCAATACCCAAAATAGTCATTAAAAATGGCTAACATAGAGCATTAACACCAAATAAAGGGTATATTCTAATTATCTAAATACAAAAGCTATGATGCAAAAAAGCTAGGCATCATTTGTTATCAGAATCAACACTATTAGAAGAAAATATACTTGTAGTCTAGGAACACAAATGCTCTACATATGGTATGCAAAAATTTTAGAGATATTTATTATTCAAGTTACATGTACTCAAACTTCCTTGCATATAATGATAAGACTGGATGTTGTTCATTTCACAATGGAAACGATGACAAGATTACCTAATAAATGAATGCTGGAACTGTTCTATATTTTTCCTTTGCTCCTTTCCATTTTCCTGGGGCAAAAAAATCTGTTGCTCATGAGGCAAGATGTCCTAATGACAGACAGTACTTCCCTGGGTAGGTCCCAGATGGGGGAACGTCAAAAAGTCTTTGTGAACACACCTCAGCTGACCCAAGAACACTAAGCTGCTGCTCCCTCCTTAAATGCTGGTGCAACCATGACGCATTAGGATAAAATGGAAGATACTGTTTAATGAAAACCTGAATGTTGGGTAAATGCCAAAACAACTCATTCCAGTGAGTTAGTAAAGCAAGCAGGAATTCAGATCTTAAAGTCTTTGAAAATTATCAGTCCTGTCCAATACATTTTATAACAGGTCTACAATGGTAACCTTAAAACTCTTACCCCAAAGGAATCTGACCACCATAGCCATTGAGGGGGAGAGAGGATAGGTATTGTCAAAGGAGAAAGGGTAAAGAAGAAAGTTCAGAGACAGGTGGTTAAGAGATGCAGAGTTCAAATTCTGGAAAATATGGATGGGAGGGAAGATCTGCCAAAGTAGGTTTTAATTGTTTTATTGCCTATGATGGTGGGACTGAGGAGTCAGCCTGTCTGTCACAAGATGCCAATGGACTAGACGTGGATCTGAGCATCAGCTCTGCTTTCTCTGGGATCAGACCATGGTAAAGCCAGCCAGGCTTCTCTCAGCAGACACAGGAAGAGGCCAGTTTCACACGCCCTGCTGTGCTGTGTTCCACTCCTCCTTATCAACTGCAGAGTTAACCATGTAACAGCAAGTCTGGGAGAAAACAATGGCCAGGGTTCCTTCTGCCACTGTACTACTCATATGCATTTCTGAAGAAAGTAAAATTCCTTAGTAAGATGTAGTTAACAAATGAACAAGAGACAAATGTTTGAACTAAAAGTGACTTACTTCTTCTGAATAGTGATCTGAAGGAAGAGGTGGGTAGTCACACTGTTCTATCTTCTTACACAGTGAGTATAAATTCATTTTGTCACCATAAAATGGACTCTGTAATGCAGCCATCTGTAAAATGCTCACAATGAAACTGAGATAGTTACAGAGCACCTTTAAAGGTGGTTACATCAAGTCTATTACACTTGGGTAAAAAATAATCACCAATACATTAAATAAAATAACATTAGATGAGCACTTGATTTTTATAAATATTGCTTTCTGAGAATTATTTATTGTGTCAAAAATCTTACATTAATTTTTGTTTACTTTTCTGCAGCATTTAAAATTCCCTAAAACAGAGAAATATTTAGCATACTTCTTTAGACACAATATAAAATATTAAGAAACAGAAGATATAATAACTTAAAA